ATAAGATATGTTAATCTACCTATATCCCATCCTAACCATACCCATCTCATACTTGTCTAAAAGAGATACCTGAGCCTGAGACTCACTCAACCCTACACATCTTAAAACCAATCCTAAGCAGATGATAATTATCCCTTTCTCAGCAATGAGAGAAGAAAAAAAATCCTTAATTCCAACTGTAGGGAAAGGGGGTGTCGTTTTCTTAGAATTTCTTCCTGCTGAAATGGGGTGACAATGACTCCATAGGAGCCTGTAGAAAAAAAATAAAGCAATGAAAAGTCTAAACGTCTCGTAACATTTGTAGCTAGTCTCTGTGTGGCAGGAGATGCTTGACTGAAGTTCTTATCTGAAGTTCTGGTCACGATGTAATAAGAAGGTGCACCATTTCAGCTAGCTAGTTGGAATTGTCTAGAGCAGTATAGTCCCAAACTGGTCTTAGGGTGGTGTTTACTAGTTCAAAGACATCAAGTGGAATCAATGAAGGGGGGCCCATCTTCTTTCCGGAAAGTCCAAAGATTGCTGTTAGGAAATTTTTTGTTCACTGTGGAAGACTTAATATCAGCACAGAAGGTTCAACTTTAATACATAAGCACTCAGGGAAAGGTAACAATAAGGATGAAAATAAGTATGAAGGAAATTGGGATTTTAGAGAGAAAACAGAGTTAAGACAATAGTAGTCCTAGATTTTGCTTTCTTCTGTCTTACATCAAGCGGCCTTTTGATATGAAACAGAAACTCTGACTTTTATTTAAACAACATGTTTGAACTTGGAGAAGGAGGGCCAAATCCAACCCCAAAGCCAGTTTTGATATTTATGTGAACTGGGACTATGACTGTACTGGGAAGTAAGAAGATAAAGTTTAGTATAACGATTTTACCATGCATACATATTGATACCATAAATCAGATGCTTCTTTGTTTGATGGTTCTTTCTGGATAGCTATCCTCTGTTCTTTAGGCATCTATATGTTTGATATCTTTTGATTTCTTGAAGATGGGCTTCTGTTTTTCTGTAAAGACAAGAACAGAACTTTCCCCCTACTTTTGTCAGGTCTCCATACAACTTTTGGGAGGACCTGAGTTCAGTAACCAGCACCCACCTTGTAGGATTTCTACCCACCAGCTCCAGGGCATCCAGCACCCTCCTCTGGCCTCCAGGACACCTGCACTCATGTGCACAAACACACACATTCACACAATTGAAATAAAAGATGTCAAGATCTCTTTCTCCTAGAAGTCAAATACAGATGATAGTGACAAAAGTTTCCATAAAATTACCTAAAGTTTTAGTCCTTGATAAATAATATCTTAGGAAACATCACAATGATAAATTATAATTTTGTTATTTAATGTTGAGTCATGCTAATTGTTTAATATTGCTAAATATTCTTTAGCTGCTGCATCCCATTGCTGGGAATGTTACTTTAATGTCTGAGTACATCCACAACCATAAGCCAGAAATACATAGGGAGATTGGAAACTGGATATTTGAAACTTCTTAGAAATCGTTTTCCACTATTACAGACTCTGTTATGTTATGAAAGGAAAGGTGACTAGTTCCCCAGTCCCTCCTTCTCACTAAAATATACTAATTAAGACCCCTGCAGCCTGAGACCATGTCCAGAAAAACACAAGCCCAGGAGCATCCAGCCTGTCTTCTTTTGTGAGGACAGGAAAATAGCTGCTTCCAAGAAGCTTAAACACATAGACATTTGTTTTTAAACTTTTATTTATGTATATGTGAGTGTGAGTGTATATGCGTGTATGTGTGTGTGAGTGTGTATGTGAGTGGGTATGGTTGTGTGTTTATTGTTGTGGGGTATAACCAGAGAAGACTTCTTGGACATAGGCTTAAGGCAATAGAAAAATCTTTATTAGCTGACCAGAGACTACACTAGGTGTTCAGGATCCCAGTGTAGCACTGAGCCTTTCTCAGGGTGAGCTTCTAACTACAAAAACCATGTTCTGGGTTGACACACCTCTGTTAAGAAGAACAGTTAGCCAGAAGTGGATCTACAGAAGCTAAAAAGCAAGGTTAGTGCATTAGAGACTTTCCCAGAGCTGTGGACTTGGATGGATTAGACCTTTGTTTTAGTTTTGGTAGATGGTGCTGTCTACATGCTGAGTTTTACAGCCTGAATGCCACTTCCATCATGGAGTCAGTTGTGCTAAGGTCTGGGGCCCTGTTACATGTGTGGGGGTGGGGGAGTATGCCAGTCTTTGCAAATGTTGAGGAGACAGAACTCAGGCTGTCAGGCTTGGCCTCAGACACATTTTTTTTTTTACCTACCCAACTTCATCTATTATTGAAAAAAGAAATGAGATTAACTGGGCTCAGTGACACATGCCTGTAATCAAAGAAGTGGAGGCCGAGGGGTTAGGAGTTCAAGCTCATCCTCTGCTGCACAGCAGGGTTGAAGGCACCCTGAGACACTGAGGCTGTTTTTTAAAAGAAAGGAAAGGAGATAGAAGGGGAGGGAGGTGAGGAAAAGAGAAGGGAAGAGAGGGAGAGGAGGAAAGGGAGAAAGAATGAGAAGGAGGAATATCATTAGCAAAGTAAACTCAAAATGTAAAGTCTACATTTTGGTCAAGTGCTAAATATATGTAACTAGAAGATGGAGAATTTATTCATGTTACTATGAATCTGAGCACCTATATAGTCTTGTCACTAAAAATTACTTTTTAGACTGTTTTGAAACCAGTTTCTAGGGAGCTAGAAGTTGAAAACATTTTAAAATGGTAAAAATAATACAATGTCTCATATTTCAAAATATAATAGTAGTAGAAGCAATAGATAAAACTAGAGCTTGGCAATAAAACCCAGCAGTATCAGTTTTAATGGCTCTGGTCGTTTATTGTTGTGGGAAATTCTTAATATCAATAAAATAAATTGAAAATGGAAACACGAAAGCAAATCTTTTCCCAACTTTTGGAATATTTTACTTAAAAAAAAAAAAAGTCCAAGTCTTATGTAGCCCAGGCTAGCTTTGAATTCTTGATCCCTGCACCCATTCACAAGTTCTGAGATTAAAGGCATTTTCACAATATCCATATAATATTTTACTTTTAAGATAATTATTTTAAGTTTTGACCTTGTTGTTTGTTTTTTAAGAAAAAAATTTGGAAATACACAATAGCAAGAGGCACCAGTTATACCTCTGGAGACCAGCAGATGGCACTAAAGCACCTTTTCCGGACCCTCTGGGTGGTCAGTAGACTCACAAGATACCTTATTGAATCCAGTTGTAGAGTAGTGATGAGCAAATGAGTCAAGACCATGCTGGGAAACTCACAGAAACAGCTGACCCGAACAAATGGGAGCTCACGGACTCCAGACTGACAGCTGGGGAACATGCATACGACAGAACCAGGCCTCTGGCAGTGGAATCAGTATATATCCCTAGTGCACTAATGGGCTTTGGGAGCCAATTCCCTATGGAGGGACACTCTCTCAGCCTAGATACACAAGGGAAGGCCTAGGTCCTGCCCCAAATGATGACTTTGTTGATCCCCCATGGGAGGTCTCACCCTCTCTGAGGAGTGGATGGGGGGGTGGAGTGGGGGGGATGGGGAGATGGGCAGACAGGAGGAAGAGGGAACTGGGATTGGTATGTAAAATAAGATTGCTTTTAATTTAAATAAAAATTAATTTAAAAAACAAACCCATTAAATTATAGGTGTGAGTAGCCCTAGTCCCTTTCTTCTCTTATCTCTGTCTCATACTATGTTAACTTTTGTTGAATTGTGCCACAACAAATGTTTATTATTGATTAATTGAGAAAGACCAGAACTGACATAGATTTTAGAACTGGCAGCTAAGGATAATAAATGGTTTATTATATATGTTCCATATCTTTAAAAAGTTAAATACAAGCTGGGCATGGCAGTCCATACCTTTAATCTCAGTACTCAGGAGGCAGAAGCAGGCAGATGTCTGGGTTCAAGGCCAGCCGGGCCTATAGAGTAAGTTCCAAGACAGCCAGGAATGTTAGTTACATATACTAAACTAGAAAACATTTAAGTAGCTGGGTGGTGGTGGTGCAAGTCTTTAATTCCATCACTCAGGAGGCAGAGGCAAGTGGGTCTCTAGATTTGAGGCCAGTCTGATCTCAGAGTGAGTTCCAGGACAGCCAGGGCTACACAGAGAGACCCTGTCTTAAAAAACCAGGAAAAAAAAGGAAAAGTCCAAGTGAAAAATACAGAGAGAAATATTTACTAATTATAATTATTTTAATTAATTGTAATATTTATCAATGTATAATCATTCAATATTTAATAATATTATTCAAAGTAATATTACTTGTTTCTGACAAAGATATATTTTAACACATTACCAGTACTACGGTAAGTCATTAGTACCCTTTAGGAAGCAATTTAGAAACAATTGTCTGGAGCTTGACATATGTGCATTCCAATTAATGCACTAATTCTATTTCTGGAAGTCTTTAACAAGCCAACATTCCAGAGCCAGGAACAGACCATTATCATCCTATTGTGTGGGATGTCAGATTTTTTAAGTTACAGGGGCAGAGAGAGGGCTCAGTGGTTCAGAGCACCGGAGCCTTTTCACAGAACCAGGTTTTGTTTCTCAGCATTCACAGGGCAGCTCACAACCTTCTGTAGCTCCAGTTCCAGCGGATCCAATACCCTCTTCTGGCCTTTCAAGGTACCAGACATACAGATGGTACACAGACATATATGTAGGCAAAAAGCTCATACACCTAAAATGAAACAAAAATTTTAAAATATAGTTATATCTTGTTAAATATGAATACAGTTAATAAACATGCATATTCTCCTTTTTTTGGAACTTACTATGTAAATCAGTAAATGACTCACAATTCTGCTTTAATGTTTCAGCCCTTTTTGGTTAGAAGTTCCTGATGCTGGATGAGTAAGACAGAAAGAGCTAGAACACACAGTAATATCCATCGCCTAGTCAAACATTCCAAAAGTTCACTTAGAAATCGGTTGATTAGACCTCTTAAACTTACTTTCAGAACACCATTGGCCACTCCAGAGAAGCCTGAGAAGATTGCAAGGTGCCAGAACCTGAAACCAGATCTGCCCCTTGGGAAAGGTTGGTCCCGGAACAGGCACATTGAATGCCAAGGGCATTCGGTGCATATGAGGTGTTGTCCTGAAGACAGGGGCATCAGCGAGCATTATAGAGGGCCCAGAGGAAATGGCATAATTCTGTTGGGAAGTAGACATCAGCAACTCACAATCTAAGAGTAATGATACTTAGAAGATAAGCTTGTCCAAGACACCAAGAAAAGATATACAGGGGTGCTGAGGATTAGCTCAGTTGGTAGGGTGCTTGCCTAGAATTCATGAGACTCTGGGTTCAATCAATATCAATTTGTAAACCAGCATGGTAGTGCATGCCGAAAATCCAGCACTTGAGACGTAAAGTCAGGAGGACCGGAAGTTCAAGAACATCTTTTTGGCTACATAGTAAGTTTAAGGCCAGCTTGTGATACATGAGACCCTGTTTCAAAAAACAAAACAAAACAAAAACAAAAACAACCCCGCATACAAAAAACAAAACAGCAAGAACAAAAGTATATGAGGGTAAGCTACAGGATATGGAAAAAATCATTGTAATTCATATACCTAACAAATGCTTCATGATGAGAATATTTAAGAAAGTGTCCCAAATTATATACATATATTCATACGTGTATGTGTGCATGTTTGTGTATTTGCATATGCATGTGTGTATGTTAGGGGATGCAATAACGAAACTACTAAAACGACCACTCCATTATTAGGGGGGAAGGTTTTATTGTGGACAAGAGAGAGAAAATATCCAGAGGCTTCTGGAAATGTCCAGAGCAGAGAGAATAAAACAAGCAAACAAACAAACAAAAAAACCAGACCAGACATGGCCAGTGCTAGGAAAGTGGAAAAATCATGCAGGTTATAAGGAGGATGAACAGCTAGGGAGGGAAGCTTGTGAGCTGGAGCATGCCTAGGAATTTATGATAGAATTGGGGATGGGAGATGTCAGGATGCTAGCATGGGTTAGAAATGTATAGTACACTTTAATCCCAGCACTTGGGAGGCAGAGGCAGGCGGATCTCTATGAGTTCGAGGCCAACCTGGTCTACAGAGCAAGTTCCAGGACAGCCTCCAAAGCCACAGAGAAACCCTGTCTTGAAAAACCAAAAGAAAGAAAGAAAGAAAGAAAGAAAGAAAGAAAGAAATGTTTAGTACATACTTGTGAATAAGGACTGTGGGAGCCTGGAGGTTAGCATGGACTTTGATATACTGATAGTTGCCATAGATATATGAACCATATATATCTTCTGTCAGGGGCAAGGGAAATGACTCCTTTTGTCAGACAGAAAACAAATTCCTAAGGAATGCTGACTTTTCTTTAAACACAAGAAATCCTTGTATAGTCCATCTTGAGCACATTTCTAGGTATATGCATTTCCTGAGACCTAGGCAAACACACACACACACACACACACACACACACACACCAGTAGGAAAATGAGCAAGATACCTAAACAGTCATTAAAACAACAATAATGTTCTCTACATTAGGCTTTGCCCATTAATCAAAGCCACAGTGGGGTTTCACTATACCTGACAAGCATGGCTGATACAAGAGAGATTGGCAGGGTCTGGGATTGAAACTCTGTGCTTTTCAAGAATGCATGAAGCCCCAGGTTTCATCCCCATGGGGAAAAAAGAAAGAGAAGAGAGAGATGGAGAGAGGCAGGAGAGAGAGACATACAGACTAGCATATGAGCTGGGCATGGTAGCTCACACCTCTAATCATAGCACTCAGGAAGTAGAGGCAGGCAAATCTCTGAGTCTCAGGCCAGTCTGATCTACCTAGAGAGTTCCAGGTCAGCCAGGATGACATAGTGAGGTCCTATCTCAGAAAAAAAATCTAATACACTGCTGGTACAAATGCACATTGGTACAGATACTTTGTTAAATTATTGTTTCACAATTACTTAAACTCTCAGGTGTGCTGTTCAGAACAGAAATATGGATGTATATGACCAGAAGATATGCCTAAAAAAGACCCACAACAGCATCATTTGTATCATCTTGACCCAGAGCCAGGCCAGATATCCAGCAGAAGAATGGACACGTGTTCTTGGAATGCCACACATTAGAATCCTGCTCAGCAGTGAACCAACACTCCATTGCTCTGCAGGTAATTAGGCTTCCCAAGAGCACCCTGATGAGTAACAGGCATCAGACACAGAAGGACGCACATGGCTTAATTTTACACATGTGATAAAGTCAAAGACTGCTAGTGCCCTTAAAGAACTAACCTGTGCAGCAGGGCTAGGAAGTTAATAGGCAGGGTGAGGGGTTTATAGACTCCTGTGATGGTCTCTTTCTGGATTTGGGTGATAAAATGTGCTCACTTTGTGAGGAAAAAAATCTTCAAGCTATGCATTCTATTTTTCTATATACAATGTGTATGCTAATAGAATGCTTTTTAAATTTTTATTTAAAGAGAAAAAAGACAGAGGCAGCCTTAGGCAGCAGTTAGTATGTAGCAAGACCCAGATGTGGTGATATATTATTTATGATTTATTAAAGCTTGCCTGAGGGTACAGAAAGCAAAGCTAGCCACAAGCCATAGAGGTCAGGCAATGGTGATACATAGCTTAAACCCAGCAGCCACACTAGCTAGCCAGGCAGTGATGGCACACACCTCTAATTCCAGGACTCAAGAGACAGGCAGATGGATCTCTGTTAGTTCAAGGCCTCCCTGGCCTACACAAAAGTAAAGAGTAACAGAGCTCACACCTTTAATCCCAACACTGGGGAGGTGGAGACAGGAGTGATACAGTGGAGCAGAGAAAAGACTATAAGGCAGGAGGAGACAGGATCTGACAGCATTTGCCTTTGAGGACTCATGGAAACAGGATTGCCATTTCAGTTTGGTAGAGGTAACACTACTGGCTTGCCTGCTTTGCTTCTCTTACTTTCAGCTTGAAGCTTGAAGCCAATATCTGTCTCTGGGTTTTTATTTTTTGTGCTACACCCAGATGCCAGGCAGAAGACCCAGGAATGCAAAGTAGCCTCAGGCACAGGTGAACAATGAAAGCTACACAGCACCACAGCCAGGAAGAATGAAGTTGCTCAGAACAGAGCAGAGCTACACAGACAGGTTTAGCACAGACAACCGGCTCAGGTTGTAAAGCTGCCATTTACTGCTGCCCCTGCCTCCCAATGGCACATCTGGATCTCAGCTACCTTGTTTACAAAATAGAAATAATACAGAGCTCCCAAGGTTTGTCTCATATGGAGAATGAGTTTGGTAAGTATTAACTATGGTAATAGTCACTTTACTTCAGGAGGGACAAGAGGTCAAGTTTAGCTCCCATGAACAATGTGGAAACCCACATACACAGAACAGAAGTCAAAGGTAAAGCTGAAGACACATTGAGAGAGACTCAGGCATGTTTCTGAATCCTGGGCCTATGATGCTCCAAGTTTGGAACAGAGACTCTGCAAGGATCGAGATGGGGAGAAGACGAGGAAAGAGAGGGAGTGGGGCCTGGTAGGATATTTTGCCATAAATATGGCACACAATAGTTTCTTTTGTCCTGGCACACTTCTTCCATCGGGTTGTGATGGAGTCTGTTTTATATTAATTAATTTTATTGTGTGTGTGTGTGTGAGTGTTTTATCTGTGAGCATGTATATGCAGAAGTTAGAACAGGGTGTTAGATACCCTGGAACTGGAGTTAGGGGTGTTTATGAACTACTTTCTTGGTGCTATAGATGAGGAGAGCCAAGGTTCCCCAGCAGAGGGTCAGAGCCAAGACCCTCAGCATGTCAGTGACTATCACAACACAGACAAGCCCTGACTAAAATCTTATTGTCCATTCAACTCACAGAAGCATAAGAAACAATAAGTAGTTTCTGTGTTACGTTTGAAGTTGGTTTGACATGTTATGTAGGATGGTTACTGTGTCAATTTGACAGAATCAATCTAGAATCACCTGAAAGATGGGCCTGTGGGGACGGTCTTGATCATATTAACTGAGGAGAAGGGATCTGCCCCCTGTGGGGGGCACCATTCCCTGGCTGAAATCCTGGATCGTACAGATGGAGAAAGAAGATGAGCAGCTCCAGGTGTTCAAGGCTCTCTTCAGACTGCAGACACATTGTGACCAGCTGCTTCAAGCTGCTCTGACTTCATTGTCATGACAAACTGGACCCTGAAACTGTCACCTAACATAAGCCTCACCTTCCTTAAGTTGCTTTCTTGCCAGGGTACTTTATCAAAGCACTGGAAAAGTAGATGGCTTCCATAGATAACTGTCATCAAAATGAGCATCTCACGGTGAGCAGCTGCTAAGGAGAGCACAGCTCATGTGCAGCCGCTGTGGGGTCGGGGAGGAGAACGCTGGAGGGGATGTGTAGAGATGATAGAACAGCGAAGACGAGCTGACAGAACAATGGTGGGGTCGCAGCAGAAGGGCTGTGGGTGACCATAAGTCCTGTACCATGCTAGACTGGTGCCTGCTATTCTTGTGAGCTTTGCAAGGAGATTTTTCATCACGGTGTGGAAAGTTCCTGTTGCCACATTTTAACTTCCCGTGACAAGACACAACTTGCATGCTACTGTGATCAATACCTGACAGGAATTAACTGAAGGGTTCACTGTATCTGAGGTGATACAGCCCATCGTATGGGGAAGGGCAGTGTGGCAGGTGGTGCCCTGGTGGCAGCAGTGTGATCTGGGGCTCTTTACCTCCTCACATCTTGTCAGAACAGGAAGTGGAGAGTGAATAGAAAGTGAGGGTGAGTCAAAAACAATCTCAAAGACCACCCCCAGTAACCCATTTCCTCCAGAGAGCCTCCACGTCACAAAAAAAATCTTCCAAAACTGCATCACTTGCTGGGGTCTAGGTGCCCAAACACCCGAGCCTATGGGAGACATTTCATGAGACTGTGAAATTCAAACTATGATACTGGGCTAATATACAGAGGGAAAACTATCCTGTGATCCCACTCACAAGGACACCTGTAGGAATCAAGTTCTTTTAAGAGCAAGCAGGTGAAGACTGGAGGCTGTCAGGGTCTGGGGGGGCAGGGAGGAGAAATGAGTTCTTATTTAAAGATTCATTATTTATTATTTTATGTGTATGTTTGTGCCTATATGCACCATGTGTGTGTAGCAGTTTATGAAAGCCAGAGAAGAGAACTGGATCCTCTAGAGCTGGAGTTATAGGTGGTTGTGGACCACCATGTGGATGCTGTGACCAAACCCTGGTGGTCCTCAGTGCTCTTAACCACTCGTGGGCCATCTCCTCAGATCATGTTATTATTTTATAACACACAAGTTATGAGGTAGATAGTAATAATGGATATATAACATGAGTATACTTAATAATACTAAGCTATACTTGTAATAGTTTAGATTTTTATTATGAGCTGAGTATAGTAGCACATACCTTTAATCCCAGCACTCAGGAGGCAGAGTCAGGCAGATCTCTGAGTTCAAGGCTAGCCTGATCTACAGAGCTAGCTAGCTCCAGGACAGCCAAGGCTACACAGAGAAACACTGTCCCAAAAAAGGCTTTTATTATGTATATTTGCTACAATATAAAAAGTAAAAATTGACAGAAGTAGCATGAACACAAATAGAAGTGGTGTGATGGCTTGAATGTGGCGGGGGTGGGAGGAGTATTGCTGGGATGAAAAAGAGTTACAAACACTGCTAATAGGAAAATGGGCCCAGATTGCAAAAGGATGTGTGTCACAATGAATGAAAGGTGTACCAGATACTGTGCATTGCAGAAGCAAGAGAAAGACACACACAACACAGGAAATCAAAAGCCCATGTCTGTTTCTGCAGTCCTCTGGGCAGGATCGCAGTCTTCTACACCGCCAGTTTACTTTTACAGTAGTAACAAAGTCTCTGACAGAGGCAATTGAAGAGAAGAAGGGCTTGGTTTTGACTAACAGGGCGTGAGAGGGTGTGGTTCACCATGGAGGGAGAGGCATGCATGAATTCAGGGTGCAGGAATATGCAGCAAGTACTCTTCACACCTCAGCAAACCAGAAAACAGAGAGCACAATGGCCAGAACATGAGGACTACCACCAATACAGGGCTCCCTATTCCACCAGCTCAGCCCCAATGTCCCAGATCAGCAGCTCCAGCTGTTGACCAAGTGTCCTGACACACGGGCCTGTGGAGGACATTTCATACTGAAGCCTGTCTGATGGTGAGCCACAGGGAGCCCTTCCCCTAAGTTGCCTCTTTGAGGTATTTGATCTTGGTGATACGGAGAGTTGCCAACACACTCTTCTTTTCCTTCAATGGTGTTCTCATGGCAACCCATTTCCGTTGTCCTGTAGTTGCTAGACTCGGTCCTGCACTGCACTTTGGCTGTATGTGATTTGCATTTAGCTTCCCTATTCAGACCCAGTTAGACCTGGAAGAGGATGGGGTGGAAGAGAAATCAACCAGGGGCAAAGAGTCACAAATGATTAAATCTTTTTAAAAATTTTTTAATTTTATTATTTTAATTTTAAATAGCTTGCTTTACATGTCAATCCCAGTTCCCTCTTCCTCCCCTCCTCCCGCACTCCCCCACCATCCCCCCCAGCCTCCCACCCTATTGCCAATTCCTTCCACATAGGGGATATCTAGAGTCTGTCATTTCACTCAAGGCAGGGTCCAGGCACTCCCCTAAGAGTCCAGGCTGAGAGAGCATCCCTCTTTGTGTTATGGACACACGATGTCTGTTTGTATGCCAGGGATAAACACTGATCCACTACCCAGCGCCCCATAGGTTGCCCAGGCCTCCTCACTGACTCTCACACTCAGGGGGTCTGGATCAGTCCCTTTCTGGCCTCCCAGCTGTCGGTCTGGGGTCCAAGAACTCTCCCCTGTTCAGATCAGCTGCCTCTGCTGTTTTTGCCAGCCCATTCTTTGCTAATTTGCTCATCGCTCCTCTCTCTCTCTGTCACTGGGTTCCATGGGTTCTGTTCAGTGTTTAACTGTGGGTGTTTGCCTCTGCTTCCCTCAGTCACTGGATGAAAGCTCCAGGATGGTTTTAGACATCAAGTTCATTATCAGGAATGGCCATTTAAGGTGGTCTCTCCATTATTGTTTAGCTTGCCAGTTGGTGTCATCCCTTTAGATCACTAGAGGTCACACTGGTGCCAGATCTGCCTTCTAACCTATGATTCCCTCTTCCCCCTATTCTACCCCCCACTCAACCTTCCTGTTCCCCCATGACCTACTCTCTCTTCCTCTTCTTCCCCTCTCTTCTTCCCAGCTCCCACTCCCCCCCCCCACCCCTCACCGTGTTCCCAATCTGTTCAGAAGATCTTGCCTCATTCCTCTTCTCTGGGGTACCATGCATATCTCTCTTAGGTTCTTTCCTGTTTCCCAGACTCTCTGTCAGTGGAAGTGCAAACTGTCACTATCCTGATCCATGTCTAAAATCCATATATGAGTGAGTACATACCATGTTTGTCTTTTTGTGACTGGGTTACCTCACAAATGATTAATTCTTAAAGGACAGCCTTCTTTTCTTTATTATCCCTGTGGAATTCATTGTGAGACAAGACAGTATTGCCTGCTGACCTTATGCAAACATCTGAAAAAAAAATATCATTCATGGCCAGGGCAGATGGCTCATTGGGTAAAGGTGTTTGATTTCAGGGACCCCTATCCTGAGTCTCTTGTAAGTTGTCTTCTGACCTCCACAAGCACTGTGGTACACGTACCCACACTAAATAAATAAATGTAGGTTTAAAAATTTTTAAATATATCAGTCATGGGCATGGGAGATGGCTCAGTGAATAAAGATGTTTCTTGCCAAGTTTGACAGCCTGAGTTCAATCCTGGAACTGACCCACAAGGTGGAAGGAGAGAATGGACTACTACAATTTATCCTCTGACTTGTACACCATGGTGTACCTGCACACACACACACACACACACACCACACACACACACACACACACACACACACACACACAAAATAAATAATACACATGTATGTATTTTGTTTTTTTGAGACAGGGTTTCTCTGTGTAATAGCCCTGGGTGTCCTGGAACTCACTTTGTGGACTAGGCCAACCTCAAACTCACTCAGGTCTGTCTGCCTCTGTCTCCCAAGTACTGGAATTAAAGGCATAATATGAAAATCTATTTTTAAAAGCTTACAGAATTTGTTAATTTTTAGCATATCTCACCTTTTTGTTATATTTTTATTATCTTATTTTATGTGTTTGGATATCTTGGCTGCATTTATGTTTGTGTACCATAGGTGCCTGGTGCCTACATAGACCAGAAGAGAGCAAAGGATCTCCTGGAAATAGATTTGCAGATGGTTGTGAGCCACCATGTGGTGACAGGAATTCAACCTGGGTTTTTTGGAAGAGCAGCTAGTGCTCTTAACCACTGAGTCATGTCTCCAGTCCCTAGTTTTGTTATACTAGCAACAAATTTCTGCCTATTAAAAAGACACTGTTGCCAGGCAATGGTGACACATACCTTTAATCCCAGTCCGCATGAGGCAGAGGCAAGTGAGTCTCTAAGTTTGAGGTGAGCCTAGTCCACAGAGAAAGTTCCAGGACAGCCATAGCTGTTACACGGAGAAACCCTGTCTCAAAAAAAACCAAATAAATAAAAAGAAGGTGCTAGAATCCTGCCTTGGTTTGCAGAATTCTGAGGGGAAATAGCATTCTACTAATGCTATGATGTATCTTCCGTAAGAACAGTTCATATAGGTATCCCTTAATGTGTTCCCTCTCCTGCAAGACAAGCCTGTAAATACTCACATATGTGTCTACATGAAATGACTCTTCACATGTTTGTCCTCTCGCTAGCTTATGAATTGTCTTTGGAAAGGTTCCAAGTCTGTTTTTGCATCATGTACTTGTCTAATCCTATTTCAGTGCCTTCATCATAGTATGACAATAGGCATATGTTGGCTGGTTGACTGTGTGCAAATGTTGAAAGTGAATACATAGGCAGCTGTACTGTGCTGGACAAATTTTACCAAAACAAATTCACCCTTTAAATGCATAAGCATGTTCTTCCAAAGCATATTTCCAACATCACATGTTGGTACAGCCTTACTTCCCTTTCTCCATGAGAGTAGGCTTGCCAGGGAAGACTCCCAAGACAGAGAATCACACCAGCATCCTCATCTCATGACATCATCATATGCATTCAGCTCTGTCCTCTTCAGCTTATATAGCCCTGGCCACCAGCATCATCCGAGGTTACAGTGTCACTCAGGTGGCTCACGTCACCACTTTCCATTCCTCCCCACTGCTGGAGTCTCATTTTAGCCTCAGGGATCACGAGGCATGGCGTGTCCAGAATGTCACTTGTAGAGATAACATTACTGTTTGCCCCTACTGTCTAATGACCCTGCTCTAGCACCTAGTATCACGTGCTATGTGTGTGACTTAAGAGGCGGGTGTAAGCAGAGGGCTTTGTTTGGGGTTGATGTAGCCAACCGAAAATGCAAACAAGGCAGTTTCTTGGTACTTAGTGACAAACTTGCATCAGTCCCCATATGACGGTAGCCCACATCCCAGTTCCCTGCAGCAAGTGACAATAGTATTTAAATACTCAATTTCCAAGCATTAGGAGTCCCTGTGCTCTGGAGTTCCCGCCGTCTGCAGTGTGGAAGCAGGCCTGGCAGCCCCCACTTTCCCACCCAGGAACATCTCCTTACGACCACCACTTCCATTTCATGGCTTTTCAGTTTCAGCCCCATAAACGTCCCCTCAGAGGGAAATACAAAAATAGAATCAGAGAGACAAGGATCTCGAGATGGCAGGCGACAGAGATCTCCTACAGAGCCCCATGGACTGTTTGGAATTTCCTTTCTCAATAATCCGCAGATCATCAAAAATAGGGCCTGTCTGCCTTCTGTGGCCCTCAAAGTTCTAGGTCTGGACCCCTCCTAACTCAGACATGCCACTGGTGTTGTGGGGAGGGCCCCGGGGCAGGGGTCGCTTTCAAGCACAGCTGCTCCCGAGCTGGGGAGCTTACCCTTGCCAGCCAGGAGCTGTTGCCAGGTTTCTGGAGTGTTAGAATAGTAAACAGTTGTTTCT